TGGGATTTTGCCCAACTTTGCCCTGGGTGAATTGTTCCTCTTTTTTTAAAAACCTGTCCTGACAGACACAAAATTTTGCGGAAAAAGTCCGACTTTGCCGCACAAGGGTTAACACAAGATTCTCACTTCTCCTCTCAAAGAGGAATGAAGGCTTTTATACCCAGGTGCTTTGACTGGGTCAAGAAAAATTCAGGTGATATCTTCCTGGCTCAGGATTAGCCAATTTTAGGAAAATCAGAGAAGTGATGACCACTTTTTGGCCTTGAGTAAGGCTCAGTGAGTCTTTCAAATACATGATTTTGGCAAGGCTCACTAGTCTCAAAAATGCAACAAGTTTTCTTGGCCAGTTGCAACTGGACGCTGGAGCTGTGCCGCTTTGGGACATGACAGGATGGACATCCACATACTAAACCCATCCAAAGGGTACAATAACAGGTCACAAAACAGAGCAGCATCAAATGGCACTAAAGCACAGGAATTCCCGCTTCTCCCCTGTGTCCTTCAAGGCTGAAGTTTGCCTGCACCTTCTGCTTCTGCATCTGAGGCTGATATTGATGACACGTCCCTTGTGTCTGGACAGCATACCCCTGAAGTACTGTACATCAGAATGCAAGTTTTGAATAAGAACTCAAAGTCTTCCCAGAGGAGCTTGTTCTCATTGCCCAGATTGTCATTTGGCTGTTGATGAAATGGTTGGAATGGCAGAGTCAATTGTAAAATGGGTTGGTTTGCTCAGAAGTTTGAATGAGGTAATTTATGTTGAAAGGCCCTTCAACACAAGATTCTCACTTTTCCTCTCAAAGAGGAAAGAAAGGCTTTTATACCCAAGTGCTTGGACTGAGTTGGGAAGAAATCAGGTGATTTCTTCCTGGCTCAGGATTATCAAATTTTAGGAAAATCAAAGAAGTGATGACCACTCCTTGGCCTTGAGTGAGGCTCAGTGAGTCTTGCAAAACATGATTTTGGCAAGGCTCACTGGTCTCAAAAATGCAACAAGTTTTCATGGCCGGTTGCGGCTGAACTCTGGAGCTGTGCCGCTTTGGGACGTGACAGGATGGACATCCACATACTACAGTAACTACACCCATCCAAAGGGGTACAATAACAGGTCACAAAACAGAGCAGCATCAAATGGCACTAAAGCACAGGAATTCCCGCTTCTCCCCTGTGTCCTTCAAGGCTGAAGTTTGCCTGCACCTTCTGCTTCTGCATCTGAGGCTGATATTGATGACACGTCCCTTGTGTCTGGACAGCATACCCCTGAAGTACTGTGCAATTCTGTGCAACCCCCCCCCCTTTTCTTCCTACGCAAGGGAACATGTAAACGTGCACCTGCTGGCACCAGTTCTGCTTCCTCAAGTCTTAACTCACCAGGGAAAACGTCATGCATGTCTGTGCATCCCTTAAGAGGATGGATATTTACCCCTTGGCATCGCACGGCAGGTAGCGAAAGCATAATTTCTTTGAGATCCGCTTGTCTTATGCAAATTTTTTCTTTATCTAGCAACGGATTTCTGCGTTATTTTTGCATTAAAATCGTACGTACCCAGGTGAACCGAAAAAATGGCGTTTTTGAGAGTCATGTTCATATCGATTTCACATTTACGCAATTTGAAACCAATTCATTTGTATTCTAACTATGCAAGGGGTCTCACTGAAGTTCTTGGAATGGAAAGACGGAAGATGGATATGAAAAGCAATTACCGTGCAGAGAATATATTATGTGGTACAAGACAAAAATAAGTTTTTTCACACATTTTGCATTTTTTTTTCTTTTCAGAATGCAGAATGATGACAGCTTTCTACTCTTCACTCAAAAGATGAGGCACCCATCTTGCAGCTTGACTTTTTTATGCCCAGTATTTCCTTTAGAATTGTTGAAAACCGCATGGCATGAATTCCAAGGGTTGCCTACATTGGTCTTCCAAAGTAATTCCGCCATTTTCATCAAGAGCCGCCACATCATGCTTATCTGAAGTGGCTGCTGTGAAGACGAAAGTTGATCAAAATACTAGACTTGATAATTAATTCATGGTGGCAAAAACCTTTGAAATAAGTTCGAAGAATTAATTTTTCAATTTATTGAAGAATTTTGTAGGGGAAGCTGGAGTGCACGAAAAAATCTGCGACATGGATGGGTGTTCAAACTTTTGAGTGAGGATTGAGGAATATATATAGAAGCTGAGAAGAAGGTGACTCATACAAAAATGTTCTGAAAATTATGTCAAATATGGCTGGATCTTTTTTGAAAATCCCAAAGCATGCTTTTCTATGATTTGAAAAAAAGTTTCCCAGCTCAATCCTCATAGCCGTTATAAATTGTAGTCCAAGAATCGTTTTTATACCCCTTGTATATGATGAAAAAATTGATTCACATAAATAAATAAAAAAAATTGCTTCAGGTCCACCAATTACGTGCGGGGAGATGTGCGAGAGTGGCTTGTCGAGATAAAACCAAGTCCTGTCCCTAAAATTAATTGTATTCACGAAAGAGCATTTCTTTGATCCAGGACATTTATCTTTTCAAAATACTGTAGCTCGAGGATTCTGTTACCTACTCTCATCAATTTTTCTCCTTCATCCTCGTGGGAGTGACTCATGTCGTTTACTAATGTGGATTCTTAGCAATCAGAAATTGAAAGCCCATCACTGATGAGGGATGAGGAGCGCTATACCAAGAAAAAAATTATTAACATTGAGTGAAATCGAAAAAAAAACTCAGACTGTGGCACTTCAATTGAATATAGTGAGACCCTGAGTTGCGGATGTAATTGTTGCATCAAGAGTGTCCCTAAGTCAAAATGCACCTAAGTTGAGTCTCATTTTCCCTCAGACTTACATTAAATAATTTTAATTGGTGTTTTATGTACAAAATACTCACCATAATATCACCATAGTTCCATGAAAAGAAAAATTGTCTCCCGACTTGAGCAGATTCAATCAATATATTTCAACACAATATGGACATTTGGGGAATTGAATACTGATACTTCTGTGCAGAACATAGAAATGTTGGCATGCTCTGTGAAAATAACATTCAAGTTAAAAAGAGAGAATGAAGTCCCTCTATGCTGGAGGTAAGTTTTTTAAAATTAGTTAAATGGATTGTAAATTGGTGAGAGATATGCCCAAGAACTTTCTCACATCAATTTTAGGGCTGGAAATATTTTTTCTTTGTTATTTGACCTGAAATGTATTTCCAATTTTATCACAAAATGTCCGTATGTAGAGTCAGTGACCTCATGTTGGGCCTTTTTTTATTAATTTTGTATGGGAAAATAAGTCTCCCTATGTAGAATTGTCTGCAGGTCCTGGTGTCCACATGTGGGGGTCTCACTGTACATCCTTTTTGAACCCGCGAACACTCTTCACCAATACCTGTTCGATTATACGGACTTTGACAAACCTCCTAAGTATTATCTCGTTTCAAGCGGCTGCTCGAATTTATTCCGGCTTTCAAATGGATAGAAATTGGCTCAAGCTCCAATTCATCGTGTGTTGTCTGCGTGGAACGCGAAATTGGATTTATTTGCCTGGAGCCGGAGAAATCATAAATATTGACAGGTTCCTGAAGCGAAGGAATTCTCGCAGTACAACATTTTTTTTTTCTCTAGTTCGCGAGAGAAACATCTGGTTGAAAATGAGAAGTAAAGTACATTGCTGTAAAATATATTCGATGATGCAAAAATCAGACATTCCTCACCCTCAATGAAAAGTTCGGGCTGGAAAAATTTCTTCGTAAAATTCCTCCAGCCGAGTTCGGAAATATTTTCGACCCGAACTTTTCGTAATTCTACGAGTGTGAGTTTTACGAGGGCATATTTTCCATTATTTTCTTCCCAAAAATGCATATATCTTCTTTCCTATAGGAAAATGTGAAACCCTCTGCTGATGCTTTCATTGCGCAACCGAATTAAAACTGAGCTGTGTTGAAATATATTCGAATTGAAAGATTTTCCAGTGATACCCTCATTGCTGTACTGCGAAATGTCATCTCTGAAAATAATCTTTCAATATCCAGCGAAGGAACATCACTGCAGCATCAATGTGCATCCCGTCGTCTGCAAAATATAAGTGCAGTACTTTTTTCTAAATATCCAAGTATACAGAAGAGATTGCTTACTGGGAGATGAGGACCGAAATATTTTCTGACTAAAGATTTCAAATCGAAAAATGCTCAAAACGCCTGACGAAAATAAAAGTTGAGAGTATTTGAAAGAATTTATTCCTGGGCGAAAGCACCGCCAAAATGGTCTTATTCCTTCCCAGTGGAAAACTTGATTACCGAGGGAAGGAAATGGCGGGCATTTGCATATAAAACGCTAGCAATCTTCCAGGTTACCTGATGCATAAAATGAGCTTGACATTGGCCTCACAGGCAAGACACAAAACGACATTTTTCCCGCCCTCGCAGTCGAGAACTTTTGTGGAAAATTCCAGGGAGATTTCCATGCTAAACCATAAATTGTTAATTAAACTTGTGAATGTCGTCTTTGAATTAACATGCGGATTGCGGTAAAGCTGGATTACAATGCAAGAGGACTCTCAACAAAAATCTTGTTTACGACGACTTTTTCTAAAAACCGATTTTTGAGGTTCCATATAGGATTATCTCCCTATGTTATACGGTTTAGTTACAACAAAATTCTCTCTATAAAACTATTTTTTGGTGCATTGAATTTCAGTTGCACCGAGTTATGTAAGATTCCAGTAGTGCACATGTTTTCTCGCTTTGCAAACGTTCCGTTACAAAATGTTTTCGCCGAGAGTCTCAAAAATATTCTGAACAAAAGAATACAACGGAAAAGCATTCTATTTTTCTATGAATCCCAGTTTTCTTCAAAACGATTAAGAATAATCCTTCGAAAAGGTCAATCTATCTGAGATTAAGCAGCTATACCAACAACATAACGAATGCCAATTTTTCCAAAAAGCCGGAGGTTCTATGTTCTAGCGACATCTGTTCAATTTGGTTCAATCTCATTCGTGAAGATTGCATCGTCGCTTCACAGAGGCTGTTAAAAACTTCCCATCCACCCCTTCGTACCACGAGCTGGAGCAAGACAACACTTTTTTATATTTTTTCTCGCCCTGGAACAAACAATTATGTGAATGCGATTATTGAATCAACTGGATTATTTTATTCAGGAATAGTTTCTTCTTCTTCGATGGCATCAGAATTCTTTCGGAATTCGCCGATGTGCTCGACCAGGGCCAAATGAAAATTGGATTCCAATCGTGTCATTCGTCGGTCACCGTAAATTGATTCTCCGATTGCATCCTCATTTTCTTCTCCTTCGTCACCCTGCTTTGCATTCTCTGTAATATCCACATAATAATAAAGTTTAAAACTCAGACAAATTAATAAGCAGATGCTGGATTTACATAATTTTCTAAGTACCTGTTGGTCGAGTTACGCAAATGCTGGGCCGGGTATCAACTGCATTCTTCTTCCTTCGAAAATTTTTGAAAGTCTCTGACTCTCTAATTGAACATACTGCTAAAGTGATGATGAGCAGAATAGAAACCGTCGAAGAAATCGCAACCCACGTCAGAGGAAATTTGCCGGAATGAGGCGCAGCTGAGGATTAAAAAAAATAGGGTGACTTCTAGCAGTTGTCGAAAAAATTCCCTATTTTCAAATGAATTCTCTAGCAGAAAGTCCAGAACCCACTTTCCTGTTCTCCATCACTCTGTGGAAATGCGTTTTTTGCTTGTGTTTTTGATGGTCGCAGATCGCAGTTTTTGCACCAGAAACATGACCAATTTCCCGAAGTCGAAATCAATGTGAAATTGTTGATGAACATCGTGCAGCTTTTCCATGCAGCATCTGAGTGAGTGGTTATAACACGTATGTTCCCGGGAAAGGAAGAATTATCTCCAAATGAGCAGAATTTAGCAGCTTCCGATTCAGAATGCAGTGACCAGCAACATGTGTCCTGAATGTCGTCTGATTTTTCATGACAAGCCATTTCTACTTGTGAAGCAAGACCTTCGAAGCAGTCATCTGTCAAAATTGAATCATTCATTTGGTGATAATTTCAGCAGAAAAAATGGAAGAGACGAGTTGGTCATTCGTTTCTGCGCCTGATGATGACCTGGTTGAAAGCAAATAAAAATACTGTAGCCTTCTTTTACTTTCTCCTTGTGTTTCTGTAAAGTTGTAAATGTAATCTACTGATTTCTTGCTGTTGATCTCTGAAAAATTAGCAAGTCTAATCTTTTCATACAGCCATAAATAAAGAAGCAATACCTCGCATTTTTGTATTTTCTTTGGAAAAACCCTCAAGAAACAAATTCAACGTTAATAAGCTGATATCCCAAAAGCAGTCCTCGTAACGAGAAGATAATGTTTATCAAATTTTCTATTGTAGTTTATTTGCAGTTAAGGATTGATGTCTTGCTTATAGCAAGCACACTCCATTCTAAGACAGTGTTTGGTAGGTTGAATGCTTCCAAGTTGGGTTACGTTTTCCCTTGAGGAATAATGTAAAATTCGTTAAATGGTTCCTGAACAAAAAAATCTGGCAGAAATATGTAAAAATTTGCCTAAATTTTCAAATGACAAAGCACAAATCCCTGAAAGCACCACTAAAGTTTGTTCAAATGCATTTCTTATTAAATTGCCTTGCTCTCTTTCACAAATTACCCACAAAATGTACCTGTCAATTGTACTTCATGCACGGTACCTGGTCATCTGCCAGTCAGTCAATTCATGGTTGCGCACCTGCCAGTCGTCAAGCGCCAGTTGGTCCAACCGCCAGCCAGGGCAGTCCTTGGTCTTGCCAATCCCCAGCCCACTGAACGGCGGTCTGGTCACCCAATTGTTGGGGCACTCAAACAATTGGGTGACAAGAATCATGCTGATTCTTTCTGGAATTCAGTTAGCAGAATGTATCCTACCACAGATTATTATTTTTTTGCCAAATTGCATCTTATAAAGTTTTCACAAAAATAAAAAACTCATCAAACCCAACCAAACCTAACCTAACCTATTATAACCTGTATACTCTCCTAACCTAACCTGACCTAACTTAAACTAACTTAATATAAACTGACCTAAACTAACCTAACATTGCTGAAATTTTGCAAAGAAAATATCCTGTGGCAGGATACCATTCTGCTCATCAAATTCTGGAGAGAATCAGCATGATTCTTGTCACCTGATGGTTGGGGTGCCCCAACAATCAGGTGACCGGACTGAGGTTTGGTGGGCTGGGGATTGGCAAGGCCAAGGACTGCCCTGGCTGGTGGTTGGACCGACCGGCGCTTGAGGACCAGCGGGTGCCCGACTGTGAATTGACCAACTGGCAGCTGACCAGACACGTTCATGCACATGGGACATCTAAGAAAAGAGCACAGTATTTGTCAAGTATGAATGCTTGTGGATGTAGCTTCAAATACATGATGTATACAAAGTAAAGGTGAGTCACAGCTTGAAAAGTACATCTTTCTTACAACTTTCATCATTATTCCATTGAAAAAGGAAAGAGGGAAGCCATAAAAATGCAACTTGATGCATTTTCAAAGAGAGTTGAAGATGAATTGGGCTTATAAAGCCTTTCCTCCAAGTTTGGCATGCTGTCATTCAATAACTGATACAGGAAGGAATTTTAGGCATAGAATATCACCAATTACATTTTCCTGCAATTCTTCCCTGATTATCTTAAGAAAAATGCTTGAGAAAGAACCATTTTTCTTGAGGGAGAGACACAACAGAATTTCACATTTTTATTTGGTTTTAAATTAATATTTCAAGGACAGGCCAGCAAACATTTGCTAAGCTGGTCAGTGTTTGCTTCGCGAGTCATTATTTTTTTATTCGGGTTTTTTAGGTGGTTTATTTTTTAAGCAATGTGTCACATAGGCGAGGCACCATTGTTGTACTATTTTCAGTCTACCTCATTCCAAAAAAAAGTGAAGTTCCTTGAAACCAATAAAAAGCTCGCAAATTTGGATCAATACTGTACTGTATATGGAATTTAGCCAGATTCTGTGATTAAAAGTAAAGAGAAACAGCTGTACTTACCCTGTTTTGCCGACGCTTCCGTTTGGTTCGTATAATTTTTCTGCAATGTCTCCTCTATGCCAATCACAGAACAATTGGAAGATTTAGACGAGCTGCAGTTTCTGTCAAGTGATGAAATAGTTTCGATTTCGAGGAGAGCCAGAAGAAACAATAAAGTCGAGAACGCAGAAACAGACGTTTGTTGTTGCAGGACGAACATTTTTTTCCAGTGCACTGCAAGTCTATACCACTTGATGCGAAAGTGCTCGGAAAAGTGATACGATTTTGCTATCGCAGGAAATGCGTCAGTGGCTATTCCTTTTATTTTTCTGGCGGAAAATTATATTCTTGCTCTTGGTGACCGTTTTGGTTGACTCATGCAGGACTAGCAGGAGTCAGTACAAAAGTTTCAACGGCTTGGAATGATTCACGGCATCTTTCTCAGAATAAACTTCTTAAAAACGATATTTAAAGGCCGAAATTTAACTTTTTATCCACATGGGCATTTCTGAAACGATCCTCTGATTCTTCACATATGACATGTGCAAGCAACAGCTCCGATTGAATGCTGATGAAGAAAGTGATGTAAACATATTTTTTTATGCTCACTTGAATTTTTGAACGTCTCAGAGAAGCGTGCAGAAAAGAAAACCCAGCCTGAAGAACAATTTTAAAATGCGGATCATCGCTAAATATTTATGAGTATAATGACTAATGCACTAATCATAATAATTTATCTGTTTACATCAAATAAACACGAAATCATGTATAATCTCTATGGGATTAAAGAAGATTCCATGCTTGTTTCACTTTTCAATTCAAAGGAGAGCGATATTCTCAAAATTAGAGGGCCTATTGAAAACTTAGCTTGAACTTGGAAAAACTCTTGGTACTATATACACTATATTTCAGATATAATTTAACCTTGAATATAGTCGTTGAAATTGTCTTGAATCGGAGTAAATCTTTCAAAAATGAATTGCTGTAAAAAGCATGATCAGAAATATTAGTCCTGTCTCTATATGGTTATCAGTTTTTTTTTTTTCCTGGGGTCATATATTTTTCATTGATTATTTAAAGCAAGAATACATTTACGCTTCTATGTGTATTCATTCAAAAGGAAAACATTTTAAAAAATTGTATCAACTTCTTTCTATATTTTTAGAGATGTACATCAGTATATCTTGTACAAACTTGATACAAGCTTATCTTCTGAATGCACAGTCAATGTTCAATGTTCAAAATTTGCATTCATGCTGGGCTCAATTTGTGAATTTGTATCAGCTACTTTGCAATCGCAATAATATAGTCAACCCCTACCTATATAACATACCTTCTGTCTAAGGTATTTCTGCCTACCAGACCACATATGGAGGCTGCTGTTGTCCTTCCCAAGGGACAAATGCACCTAAATACTTTTATTTGCTTAAAATTCATGTAGAAATTTTACAATTCAAATAATTTAGTTTGTACAGCAGACTTTTCACACAACATACTAGTGTGTTGCATGAATCAAGTGCATTGTCGTGGGTTGACTGTATATTAACTGCTAGAAGGTTTAATCAAAAAATTTCCGAAATTGAGACTGAAACATCATATTCCAAACTAAATTCTTAATTATGTACTATTATCATGTTGAACACCTGCTGTTGTGTCAAAACAGCAACTTCATTGCACAATGACACAGAACACACTTGATGTGTGGCAAATTTTATTGAATGCAATTAACCCTTGGGTGGCAAAGTTGAACTTTTTCTGCAAAATTTGATGCCTGTAAGAGAAGCTGTTGAAGAGATCATAACAGCGCATCAAGGGCAAAGTTGGGAAAAATCCTGGCATATCTTTTAAGTACTGAAAATTTTTTTTGCACAATAATGAAAAAAAAAAGATATCCAAGGCTGAGATCACTTTTCATCTAAAATCCCTGGATTAGTTTGATTACTTTCAGCTTCCTGGCCCTTTCATTTTAGGCACCAGAAGAAGGGTTTCCATTTAGAGGCCACAAAAGATTAGTAGAAAAATTCAAACTTTGGGAATTCTCAACAACACATTTTTGCCCAACAAAGTCTGGCTTTGCCCTAGGCCACCTGGCTTGGATGTCATGGCCTTCAACAAAATTTAAACCTTGGCCCACCCCAGATACTCCAGACTTGATCCTGAAATTGGAAAGAACCCTTCGCCGTGGAAGGTTTAAGAATGGAAAACAGTGTCAACAATAGGGCAACAGCAGCAATAAAACACACACAAAGTAGTTGTTCTTTTCAGCCTGACTTTGTTTTTGTCTCATTCCGTTTCATCACTACGATTGGCAAAATATTCTCGCGACTCTTACAATACAATTGGTGGACGACAAGGCCACCTCCCAGCAACCCCCTACAAAACTACGCTCGCTGAACTTTTCTTCCGAAGAATTGAGCAATTACTACTTAAGAGTATGCAAATTTTTTCTTTTCTTTTGTTTCTTTTCCTCTCCTTGGAAAGAAGTATAGAAAGAAAATGACTCTCCAGCACACAGTACACCCCCCATTTTTGACGGAGAAACTGGAGAGAAGCAGAAATTATTAGAATATCACTACCAACATTTCCGTATTGCACTGCAAATTCTCCTTTTTTTTCCTCTCCCCAAATATTTTCTTTTCCAGCTACAGTAAAATGGAATGCCGGATCCCAATTGCTTTCAGTTTCCCCCTTATTTTCGTTTTCTCACTTTTCAATGCATTTGCTTATCTTTCACGCGTTGCTGCGTGGAAGGCCTCACGATGTCTTCTAGACAGAACAACAGGAAGTCGACGAAACGAAACAACAAAAACTTTCCAGCTGGCTCGAAGCGAGTTCTTTTGGCTGACAATGGTTCTGAAATTGCATTTGTTTCGATGACATCATAAATCAGCACCTTTTTCAAGGAAACATTTTTTTTTACGATTGACGAAGTGGAAATATTCAAGTGGGATTTTTTTCTTCACGTATAATTAGAAAAGCAATGCTTGAAACAAATTATGTTACATGTGATGAATCGAGTGACTCAGAATCTGAAGATTTTCAATTGTTTAAGGCACATTGCCTACAATAGAAAAATTACGATGAAAAACAGGTTAAAATCAACATTAAAATCAAATTGAAGTACAGGCGAAATCGAGTTAAAATAAAGATGAAACACTAGTTAATGTCGAGATAAAATCACTGACGTCGAATTATGAAGAAATTTATTGGTTGTAAAATACTATTATATTCAGCAGTTGATACACGTTTGGCCAAACTGTTGAATCCCACGTTTTAACAACTTTCTAAGTTTAGTAGCTCAACAATAATTAAAAATCGAAATAAAAATGTATTCATAATTAAGATAAAACAAATACTTACACTGACTTTTGAAAAACTTTTGGGGTTGAAAAATATGGTATTTACTCAAGTACCAGCCCACACCCTCAAGTAAGGCGCGTACCGGGTTTTTTCAGTTGGAAATTTTGCTAAAATTTCATCCTCACATATGACCCACACCCTCAATTTTTAGTAAATCTAAAACCACAAAATTTAGAAAATAGAAACAAAAAGTTTGACTTCAGACATGAATTTAACAAAAATCTGACCAATTTTCAACTTTTTTGGTACAAAAAAGTTTTCTTGTCACCTATTTTCTGAATTTCTGCATTAAGATTAAGTATAATGCACATAGAACTTTCTAAAACTTCTTGAAAAATTTGTACCTGCGTAGACGTGCACCCCTTTTCTTCTTATGAAGTTTGAGAAAAAAGGTGCGCATGGTGCTTGAGTAAATACAATAGTATTATAGTCACTTGATACACGTTTGGGGACTGCTGAATCTCAAGGTTTATCAACTTATTTCTTGGGTTCAGTGATTCAAATATTAATTTTTTAATTCATTAATAATAATCATTCTGGTCAATATAGTTATATTTTAGATGCATTTTTAACTGTTTCAGCACCCAAGGCACCAATTCGAAGAAATATTAGAGGCTCAAACTAAGAGGATCAGTTTGTACAGTTTATAAAACGTGTTGATAATTCCATTCTGGATACATTTTTTTGATCAAACAAAAAACGAATCATAAACAGTTCGAATTAATCATCTTGGCATCAATCTTGTTTAAATTTGATTACAGCCATACGAATCAGGATGAGTCATTGCTCTCCAGTTTTTTCTACAGAACAAATATCATCCCACAGCTCCAACATGAACTCGCTTCTCGCCCATATAACAAATAAGACAACAAATACAATAATAACCATGATGGCGACATACTGTTCTAGCATTTTCCTTCCCCCTACATCGAATGAAAAAATCAATACCTCACAGAATGAGTCCCCAGGACGGTACAAAGACTCATCAAGATGGCCGTCGAGCAGATAGGAGCAGAAAACAAACAAAAAGAACGCTTCTAAAAGCATCTCAGCACAATATTAGGACGGCGTTTCTTCCGCGATTTTTTCTCTCTCTCTAATGATTCTTTTCACCTGTACTAATACTAAGATGAAGAAGATGAGAAAGAGAGGCTTTCTTCCTTGCCTTTCAACCCTTTCACAAATCGTGATTGGGTGCCTCCCAAATCCGACACTGACAAAACACGCATACCGCTAAAAATAAAAATAAAATAAAAAGAAGAAGAAAACCTATATCAACAGGAAGATTATCTGCTTAAATAAATTTGATCCAGGTTGAATATATTCCTCTGAAATTGCGTTCGGTAAATTTTGATAACAAGACCTGTATGATGTCCCTCAAATATTTTTTAGCTGGTCAATAAATGACCAATTTTCATAAAATGTTCTGCAGACTGGCAAAGTTCCAAAATTGTTTTGCACACCAGAAGAATTTCTGGATTAATATCTGTCAAAAAGTGCTCTATAACCAAAACTTGTATCGCAAAAAGTACTTCAAGAATGAAAAATCAGCTATCAATAGTTGAATGTCTTCAAAAATTAGACATCTGGGCTTGAAGAAAATTTTATCCGGAATGAATAATTCAAATCAGTTATTCCAGCAAGTGAACATTTGTCAAAAGCGTTATCAAAAGAAATGCGAACTATTATTTTCCATAGTATAATCTAAACTAACGTCATCTTTCTGAAATTTCCGATGAAGCAATATAGAAGACTTTTAATTCTCAACTCTCATAAAAGCATTCCGCTGAATAAAATTCGCCACGGATCACAAAAGAAACTTTTGTGGGCCACTGATCTAAGCATTACGTTTTCCCATCTGCAAAAATTACAATTACGTATCTATAATTCACGACATTAATTGAAAACTGGATTTTTCGTGTGAAACTAGAAAGATGGAGAAAAAATGAAATTTTTTTTGTCAGCAACGGATTTGAGAGCGCGTCCAAATCACCTAAAGAAAAAATTTGTATTTTTTTCCACTTGCGGATAAATTTGTGGATCACCTGCGAGTACAATATCCATAGGAATAACATGAGTTGAGCAAATCCCTGCAGTTGCCATTAAGTAAGGCCTCACCCCATCCCGGAAAACTAAGAAACGCTAAAAGAGCTGGAAAGAGAGTGATCTTCTCTGGACAGATCTGGAAGACTCCTTGCTAGATTCCGTAACACCCCTCTTTTTTCAAACCACATTTCTTTTTTCGATTTTTTTGAGGAAACAATCCACTCTCTTCTCCACGTTGCTCATCAAAATCACCTCGTTTCATCGGTGGTACTTATTCATATTTGTCAGGAAACCATAATGCTCGCTTCCAGAATTTCAAAATGCTTCGCGGTGTCAATTTTTTTCTTTCTTTCTAGCTGTTTGGTTCAGATGAGTCGTCGAAAGGCCATAGGTGGAGAAATATTCGGAGACTCTCATCATCGTCTTCTTGACGAAAATCGACTCGTCTTGGATGGAGTTGAGGATGAGAATCTGACATGAGTCCGGAGGTTATTTCCTCGCCTGAATTTTCCGACTCGTCCCCAGAATATGGAGGGAGCATCCTTATATTATATGGCATTTTTTTGTTTTTCCAGCTTCAAGCCAACAAAGATGACGACGAGGAGGAGTCGTGATCTGGAGAATTTTCAGAATCCTTGGAGCATGAAGACTCTAGATGCTTGTTGAGGTAGGCCTTGAGGGCAAATGTCTTGTTGCACCTCAGACACTGGAAACTCTTGACGCTCGAGTGCATTTGCATGTGGGCCCTCAGGTTCGACCTGTCTGCGAATGCTTTCCCACAGTGTGCACATCCGTAGGGCCTCTCTCCAGTGTGACTCCTCAAGTGGCCCTTTTTTTGAGGGAATAAAGGATGGAATTTAATGCCATAATTATGTATAATGATGATGATGAGCATAAACTTGAAGGTGAACCCAGTGGACACAAGGTACATCGTCAGTTTTTTTTTTCTGCAAATCGTATCCAAATTGATTGAGTCACCAAAAATTATGCCTAATTTTGTCCATAGTGATCAAAACTTGTAATCCAAAATTTTCAAAATTATTTACAAAGCTCCTCCAATTGCCCTGCAAGTCTCATTTGTTGTAGTCTGAATTTGCCCCAAACTTATCCAACACTAGTCCAAATTTTCTCGAAACTTCTCCAAATGTTGATAGAATTTAATCCAAAATTCATCCACAGGAAGAAATGCGTCCGCCTTGGGCAACAACTTTTGGATTGATTTTGGAGGAGTTTCAAATAGATATTGACTGCTTTCCGAGGAGTTTAGGACAAAAACAGACAGCTTCGTGTTCACAGGGGTATGGGAAGAATATATTTTCAATAACATGATGCGGATGAAACATAAAAATATTTGACAACTTGCAAGTGTTATCTTCTCCCACAATTGCAGGTGAAAAACATTCAGCATTTTTCTATACAGTATTTTGGAACCGCAATGATATTCGCATTAATCACATTAGAAAAATGTTCTCTGGCATATTGGACATCCACGAAATCAAAAATGGCCAAAGATTTCTTCAATTATCTGATTTTTCTGTATTCTTCTTTCTATATACAACGGAGCTGGCTGTAGATTGCATGCTATTCTGGAATATATCAACAACAGAATTTTCAAATTTATATAAGTCAGAAAACTCTTGAATAAGCAGCGTTCACGCGCTATAAATAAATGAATGCAAAATTCATTCAGACTGTTTTAGTATTACTTGTGAAGAATATTCGGTTTAATTCTTCATGATTACAAGTAATCTTAGAATAACTTGTTCCGTACTGAAATGAAAAACTTCCGGTCCTAAAAAATATACTTCACGTTCAAAAAATCGCAAAATATTTTTCATTTATCTTCGAGGAATCGATTGAAATTAACTTTTCACTCATCTAAAGAAAACTTTATGTATTCAAACAAAGAGAGTTGAAAAATTAGTGCCATGCTATTGACATTTATTTCGATTGTTTCTGCCTGCTGAATAACATTGCGTTTTGGAATGTGCAAAGGGTTACTACACTCTAACTAAATTCTCTTCACTGCAAATACTGACCCATACATAGCAACCAGGATCCCCCATCCTCAGAACCCATCTGAACCTCGCGGGAGCAGCAGCTTGCGCGGGGATACCCCTCGCGGAGGGTATTTAGGCCTTGCAAAAAACTGCAAGTACAAATGTGTACCAGTAGGCCAAAAATATCTTTCGCGAAATATATACTACCAGTGATCCACCTTTGAATTATCATTATACATACTTTATAATATATATATATATATATATATATTTACAGAATAGAAAAGAAATGATGAGTGAATCCTTTTTGGAAAATCACCATATCAGCAAAGACGAATCGTCCATAGCTGAATCGCCTCAACCTGAAGGCAAGAAAAAAAAA